CGGCCACCGCAGCCTCAACCTGCTGGGCACCAGTGACCCTTCCACTTCAGCCTTCGAAGTAGCTAGAACTACAGGCACATGCTGCCACACCCGGCTAATTTTTTTATTGTAGAGACGAGATTTTGCCAAGTTGCCCAGGCAGGTCACAAACCCACGGGCTCAGGCAATCCGTTCTTCTCGGCCTCCCAAAGTGCTGAGATTATAGGCTGAGCCACTGAGCCTAGCTATATATATATATATATCTTGAAGCAAATGTGTGTGTGTGTGTGTTTAAGTGTTTAAGTCATACCCAAACTTGTAAAGGGACACATCTTTTAATGTGCATATCTCTTGGCAGAACATGGCTAAGCAGCTTAATTCTCTAAAAGATAAATTATATAGAAATGTCATTCACTTTTCCCGTAAATAGCACAAATCAAAAATATTTGTGAGGCATTATTACAGGAGAAATCAAACCCAGTGAGATAACTGATTACACAAGTATGTATTTTTATTGTCTATTCTTATTATTTATTTTAGTCCTTAAATTTTATCAATATTGTTTTAAATCAAATTTCACTTATTTAATTAGTATGGATACTTACACTTTGAAACAAGATTTATATTTACTTCATCAGTTTATAGCTGTTGATTTTTGGAGGAATTTCCGTTCCCTTAGGCCTCATGTTTCCATGTGGAGGGGAATTTCATTCATGTAACCCTTCCTTGCTGCACTGGGCAAGGAGGTGTGGCTAATGTGGCAGGTGACCTTATGTGAATGCCTCAGGCCAGGGGATTAGCCCTTTCTGGGTTCCTCCTTCCAAATCAGGCTGCCTATAGACTGCAAACACCACAACACCCCTAGCTGGAGCCCTGATGAGAGTTCTAACAGGAGCTCCTGGGCTTGGGGCATCTGGCCAGTTCTAGGAGCATCTTTAGCAAGCTCGTAGACCTCAAGCCATACTTCCCAACGGGCTCATTCTGCTGAGGGGACAGCTACATCTCCTGTCTTTCTAGCACCTGGGTCTTGCTTATAATTTGATCCAAATCCAGGAGTAAAAAAATAGGGGGTGTGTTTTGCCCCCAAGCCTCAAAGTGAACAATTACTATGTAAAAACGAATAATGCTGTCAGTAGAGATGGAGAAGACAAATGTGATATAATCCCTACATTGAGAGCTTTACAATATAGTGGGAGAAACAAAAACATACTATGGTACTGAGTAAAACAGAATGTACTTTAATGGAAGTATTTAAAATTATGTGGCCTAGAAAAGAAAGTAAGTAATCTGATTGGCAAAAGAAAAGGAAGTGTGTGTCGGGGGGGGTGGGGTGGATGAGGAAACTAAGACAGATTATAGAAAACTTATGATATTTAACCTGTAGTTTCAAATGGGTAGCGTTTTTAAGCTGACAACAGGGGAAGACGAATCTTTTAATTTTAATGGAAATAAAATTTGAGATACAAGGTAATAAAGAGTACTATAGCTTATGAAAAAATGGCTTGGCGAAAGAGTGTCCCTGGGACTGGAGTGGGGCTAATAGCAATCAAGGTGAGGGATCTGTCGAGGGATTCAGGGTTTATTGTCCTTGAATTTGAAAAAGGAGCGGGAGAGTGTTTCCAGATTCTGTGGTTGTTTATATGACAAAACATGAACCGAGAGGAGGATTTAGAAGAGAAAGTATTTTGCTGTAATGGGACAGAAGGGCAGATCATGAAGTTGATGTACATGTGATGGAAACCAGGGCCTGAGCCTTGGAGGGAAGATCTGACTGGGTCCATCACAGTGGAGGGCAGCCTTCACATGTGTTAGAGTGGTCACCTTTGGTAGAAATAGAATTTAACCACAAGACAGTACAGCTGGGCAAAAGAGGAGCCCTGAGGAGGAAATTCTCTATAGGAGATGGGGCAAGAGAAGCCTGCCAAGGAGGCTGTCAAGCAGAGGCTCAAGGAAATGGGCTGAGGTACCCAAGGGAGGAGAGTTGAGTGGCAGGGCAACTGCTATGAAAAGCCCAACACCACCGAACAACCTGGAAGCCCATGCAATCCTCAGGAGGGTGTCAGCACAGGGACAGAGCACGGAAGAGCAGAAGCCACAACACACAGGGTGTACTGGAAGACAAAAATGGAGGCAGTAAGTAAACACTGGCCTTGCCTGAGACTTCATTAAGGATACGATTGCCTTGAAAGGTCAAGAAGACAAAACATCCAAGAAGAGAAACTACTCTCCAGTAGCTCTAAGATTCACTGTCGCGGGACATTTAAGCAATAATTTGCTGTAAAACTCAGAAAAAGAATAGTTAAACAGCTGCCCTGTAACTCACTCCTTCCCTACGAGGGAAGCAAGAGGAATGGGTATTCTCTGAGAGGTTATCTCTTACTGAAAATAAATTTAAAATATATTGATTTATGAAGTAGGACTGAACTGGGATAATTCCCTGCATTATGGTGACCCATAAGCAGTTTTTCTATTTGTGTAATCAACAGGACACAAAAGGGAGGCACCCTTAAGCCAAGATGGTTTCCTTTTCAAACAGCACTCCTATGGGCATTACTGCAGACTCATCTGTTAACCGAACCAGACCACCCAATAAGGGAGAGAGGATGGGGATCTGGCAGTTTTTAGTTCCTTCAGAAAAAGAATGCTGCTCCTTTATCCTCCAAATCATTAGTTATATGACACTGGTACCGAACGCTGTGACAACTTCACCCTCTATGTTAATACAAAGCCTAATTTGTTTTATAAGTTAGTGAGGACACCTCAGAAAATAGTATGACATTGGTGTAAAAGCACATAAATGTTCATCAAAATGGGTTAAAATTATCAAATCATTTAAGCCTAATAGTTCACAAAGTTGTAGAAGTAATGTTAATATCTTAAGAATATAAATTTAAGTTCTTACCAAATTTGCTCTAACATCTGACCTACTGTGTACATATTAGGCAGTAATACAAGTGCCATGGTCAGTTAGAGAAACGAGCAGTCTGAGATGCCCTCTGTGCTCCCTCTTCCTGCTCTCCACGTGGTCTTCCTGGGGGCCTAGATACATTCTCCAAAGAGAACCAAGGAACTTTTTGCCCTGTGTGCCCTGCTTCATGGCTGCCTACTGGTATATCACAAAGGACGCCCACAGTCCCTGCCTTCCAAATCTGTAGGAATCTACAACTTCTGTGATTTACTTGATGAGCACTTTGATTCATTTTCTTCTTGGCAACAAAGTGATCCCCCAATAAACTAGGGATCCCTGATAATACCCATCCTTGTCTCCTTGATTTTTTTAATGGAACATTTCTTTATTTTCAATACATAGAGTGAATATAGGTTTCCAATCATACTTTTTTTCCTCCTGTTAGCAGGAAGGAGACTTACTCAGATACACAACAATCTGCACAGTGGCTGTCACTAGAGTATCAGGATGTCATCTGAGACTCTGTGGCTTCCATGTCATAAGGAAACGTGCTAGATGTCTTCAGCATAAGAACAGACCTGCTCTGTCCAAAAGGGGCCCCCAACCATGGGTTCCATGAGCTCATTCATGCTGCTGAGCATAGTGTGTATGGTGTGCGTAATATGCTTAGTGTGTGGGGCTTCCTAGAAATAGGGGAATGGAAACAGTTTACTAAGATTTATAGTAGTGATAGGAAAATATGACAATATTTTGAATATAGTGTGTTAGAGTATTAGCATTAACATCACCTTTTAGATATAACTACTAGAAAACAGTGGAGCACTGGCTTCACCATATTACTACCAGACAGTGCTGACTGGGATGATATCACAACCCTCAGGATGGTACCATGGGTAGGAGCCTACTGACTCGAGAATCACCATTCCTGTGTTAACATTAATTAGAAACATAGAGGGAAATAAGAAGAACTAAAAATCTAAAAATTGTTCTTGCTATTCTTATAATTATTTGGGGCAGTAATAAATGTTAGTCATTTCAACTAACGTTTCCATTATAAATATAAAGGAATACACAATATAAATCATATTTCATTTTTTCCATGATCAATTTTACAAATATAAAAGAATACAAAATTAAAAAACAAGATTTTTAAGACACTAAAACATAGGCATATATGACTGAATCTATGGTTCAATTCCAAAAATAAACATCTCATAAATAAATGAGTAGACTCAGATTAGAAAGATTACTAAAGAAAAGCTTTCAACAACATCTGGAGTAGAAGTGGGTCACCTTATTACAACTACATAGTTTTCCTCAGAATTTTTAAAGAGGTGGTATGCAACTTTCCTCTGAATGACTTATAATAAAATAGATATAGAAATATAAATATGACTATCAATTATAACTAAGCTTATCGAATAGAAAGGTCTAGCACTATGGAAAAAGACAAATGCTTACAACCAGGAGGCAGTGTAATGCATACATTGAATACATTTAATTAAAATGAGAATTTACTAATTAATCAATTATGAGTTTTAGCTGTGAGTATATATATATGTGCATATTTACTTTTGTAAGGAATCTTTAGTAAGGAAATCTACCCTTTTTTATTTTTAAAATATAACTTAATGGAACACATGACCTATATCAAAGAGTAGGCTGATAAAAATGAATACAGATGTACAAGGGAGGTATTCTACATAAGTGAAATCCCCATTTTGAGTTTATGAAAGCTTTCTGTTAAACATATAAACACTATTTACCAGTAGTGCTAACAGTAAAGTTGCCCTCCCGCCAGGTGACTCCTGGGCCTGACATTATCAGCATCCTGAAGGCTTCCTGAGAGCATAAACAAAAGACTGAACAGCAACAAAAGGGAGAAGCAGCAGCCAGAAGCAGTTACTGCACCTACATTTGCAACAACATTCACAGAAGTATGTGCACGTGTGCCCGTAGGCTCCCACGTGCCCATACCTCGACACAGACATGATGAGGAAGGGGACAGCAAGTGGATGTGATGACAAACCTGCGAGACGCTCATGAGACAGAACAAAGCGGCTGGAAAACCACTGTACAAATGATAAGAAATTAAGAAGTCTTCATTGTATACCTTTCTCGTTCTGGTGAATGCAAACTAGCATCTGGTCTCAAGCAGTGGGTACTAGCACTCCTAGCCCTGTCAAGGGAGGGCTGCAGTTCACTAGTGCCAGTGCATTGCATCCAGTGGTTGAAGAGAAAGACAGAGAGAACAGAGAAAGGAAGACCATGTTAGAGTAAGCATACACCACGTCCCCGTACACAAGGCAGAATCACTGGGATTCGGTTCATAAGGGTGTGAGAGCGCTGACAGAACGACAGTGCACGATTTTGTTTAGAAAATGGCACTAAACAAAGATTATGCTTAAATTGCTTTGCATAATTTTTTAAAGTATCTGAAAAATGAGACTAAGTCACACCTACTTATGAAAAAACTGGGTACAGAAAGCACTCAAACAAAATGCCTAAAACTTCATTACCGAGAACAGAAGCCACACCAAAACAAAATGAGGGACATCAGAGGAGAGATAATCTCACAACTCCACTGTTTTGGTTCACAACACCAGACAAGGGAAGTGGAAAGTATGACTTCCAGAGGTTCTTACCAAACTGAAATTTCATCAGTAAATCTCAATACTCTTGAGTGAAAGCATTCGTGATGAAGGGGTCTGTCCTGTCTAGTCACTGATTTGGTCTTAGTATGTTCAGGCAGAACTGAGCTTCACAAGTTAAAATTATCCAGAAACAAAGTGAAGTAAAATAAATGATAATTAAAATCAACAAGTGAAACAACACACAAATGACAAAGAAAACAATTAGCATTCAGATATTTGAATTAGATTTCATTGAGAAAATTATTCTAGAATTATACATTTTATAATTAAAATGATTTTAGATATAATTGATTTAATGTCTCTCAGTATAATTAATTTCAAAAGTGTGTGTTAAGGCTTTATTTGGATGTAAAGTTTCTATTTTTAGTAAGCAAGGGACTAGGGATTAGTTTATAAATGTGATTCATTGCTCTGGCTCTTACCTGTAAATATTCCAGTGAGAGCCGTTCTGTAATAAAGGCATCTTGGGTGGCAATGTTTTATAGTGCCTAACAAGATGTCTGGAACACGGCAACACAAACACGCAGGAAACAGAAAAATATATATGAAGCAAAATTTACCAGGATGTTAACAAAGCAGGAGGCCTACAAAGCTATACAGATGGATCTTTTTTTTTTCTTGGAAGAACTACAATAATTATTTTAAGGTGGGATAATTATACACTATTTTGTATTATATGGTTATTAAAATATGATATAAAAGAAACCTGACTTCATACCTAAGATATTAAAACTCATAATTTAACTACCTTAATTAGAAAAATATCTACTAACAAACCTATGATTTATTATTAGCCAATGTTTAAATATTCTATTTAATCCCTGATTTAATACTATCCCTGCTTCTGTGGAAGTTGACATCCATAGCTACAACTACAGATCAAATATTTATGTAATTTGGGAATTTAAAGATGACTGAACGTGCTCGTGTGTGGTTAACAAGCAGAGGGCTGGCCAAACGCCAGGGCCAAGGCCAGACGTGAGACTAGGGCACAGTGAAAACAGGAAGAAGCAGAGGCTGAGAGGAGGTTATGGAGAAGCAAATTCTTCCTACTTCTAGGCTTCTGAATCCAAGTCCAACGATAGGTAACATGTGCCTCTGGAAACAGGGAAAGGTAGGCATCAGACGCAAATCCAAATGTGAGTTTGAATTGGCAGAAATGGCAGAAAGATGGCCCAATTGTTCCTGATTCCCTTACAGTCTTTAAGGTTTCAGGGCCACCTACCCGAGGATACGCCAGATCCAGACAGTTATCTTTTGGAATTTGATAATGTACAAATTTAATTGCTGATTATGAAACTCCATCATCTGCTTCAGCTTACTCAAAGTATGATAGGAAAGGGATTAAACATTAACCAAAGACATCATGAACATCAAATACCCTGCTGGTTTCGTCGTACTTATGGTCATCATCAAATAAAAGGAAATCGCTTTAATCTAAAGATGCAGTTTAAAACTGTACTAGAGTGCCATGTGCACACATGTACACATCGAGGAAAAATCTCACAGAAACGAAGGATCTGGCCTTCTTTACAGACAGTGCCATCTTCTTTTCAATCCCTAGGGCAAAGACTTCTAGTAACAGGTTGCTACAATACTTTACCAAGCATTGCTTCAAAAGTGCGTCTTTCAGGATTAACAGAGGATGGGACACAGATGGGAAGAGAGTAGACATGTGCAGTCTGAATGTCTGAGTGCCTGCCATGGCTGCACCACGTACTGGCTGTGACCTGGGTAATTCAAGCCATGTCCCTAGACCTGTTTCTACATCTACATACTGTGGGGAAGGACACCTACATGACCGGGTGCTATGAGAGTGACACAGGGTGACACATGTGGAGTCCCTAGGGCACCAGCACTTCCTTGGGACAGGTTGCATTAAAAGGGTCATTTGGGGAAGTGACTAAACAGTAGAGACAGATCTTTATTGTACATGACTCTACTACACTATGTACACTAGCTCTCCAGGGGGAGATTTAGATTTGCAAAGTTTCCAAAGCATACTTGACTCACAGACTCTTTCAGTGATGGATGTCTCACAGGGCCAGTTGTCATATTTTTGAAAAAAACTAGTGTAGAGGAAAACATCAGGTTTTGATTTTGACCTGATTTTAAATCCTTTCTATATTATTTGTGAAATTGAAGCTCTCTTAGCATTTTTCTTCATCTGTAAAATGAGAATAATAGTATTCATGTCATATAACTACTGTCAGAAAATTGAGATAAAACACACTAAATACTTAACACTGTCTTGGTATATAATCAGTGTTGTTATCCTTATGTTTACAGGAGAGTAGTGAATCATCAAGTGATTTGTTATGTGAACACGATATGCTGTATTTTGAAAGCTTTAGATTTCAGCAATAGTTACATAAATAATAGATTTCTGCAATTTATATGAAACCCAGCTTGATTATTGACATGTTCAAATAAAGCTTCTTTTATTTATATGCACTTATTTTCATGTAGATTTTATTCAGTTATAAGTTAACTGCTTGTATAAATACATTAATAGAAACACAGAAGAGATTACATATACATACATGCACATGTCTATGAATGCATGTTTTCCTTGCCTGTGTCTGTTAGCATCACACACTAGGGGATGAGACAATAGGAAGAGCGAGAGGATACTGGACACACTCCTTGTAGTAGGGACGTGTCTGCCTGGTTGCTCTCCCTCCATTCTGACTACAAGAGTATCGGTCACAGGGCTTGATCTGCCTCAAAACACTTGCTTATTTCTGAATGGTCTACACACAAATACGATTAGGTGGGTAAGTCAGGAAGTGAAAAGTCAACATATGGAGTCAATCTGTTACACAGGCTCTGTGGAGTTCAGAATATTAGCAAAGCACCAATCTTAAGGATAAGATTGAATAAAATGATGCAACTCTTAGTATACAATATTTTACAAGTACAAAATAAGGTAAAGAAAAAAAATTAGCTGTTGTTAGACGACTGGTGTGAGGATCTTAGAAATACACACTGGGTGCCAAGAACACACAAGTTTCCCTAATAAATATAAAGATATTTTTGTGTGTGTTTTTCCGTCTTATGTTTCTTTTTTACAGATGAGAAAACTGTATGCAGATGAGACAACTTCCAGAATTAGTAAATAAACCATTCTTAATAATAATAAATTATTTGCCAGGAAGAACAAATGATAAGCTGGGAAATTTGGCAATATAAAGAATTTGAGTTGATTTTTTTTCAATATGCATGATTATACATTTGCCCTTGGGTGCCCGGTAGAGCTAATTTTTCCTGGTTTTGCCTGTGGTACCCCCAGCTGACACGGCAGTAACCCTCAGTGGGATGACCATAGACACAGGAGAAGTCCTTGCAACTCTTGTGAGCTTGGATATGCTTTCCATGCAGCGTTTAGGAATCACTTATCTTTGTACTCAGGGAAGTGCTGCTATGGGTTATTTCTTCTCTCCTCTGATTCTGTATGGCTAAAATATTTGAAAGAGTCTGTTTGTGTGTTAGTTTGTTTCACTGACTTGCTAATTCCTTATGTTCTATATTATCTTCAGATTTACAATGACTATTTATAGACCATGTTCTGAGAGACTCCTGTAAGAAATTTCACTTTGGATGTGAGATTAACGATGTCATAAGACTAATGAAAGCCTCAGGCTCTCAGTTCCAAGTTAGATGCAGAAATCCTAGCTCCCTTCTTTCCACCACTGAGGAGGGTCATATTGCTATATTCCTTTATAAGAAAGTGTGAACTGCAGCTTTTCTGAAAACTTGTGGGCCTGGATGGTTAAGAAGTCAACAGGCAAAACATTCTCACTCTTGATGAGGAAGAAGGCCGGGCTCAGCCTATACAGTGCACGGCAACAGAATATAAACAACAGTGGATTCCAAAAGGAAACAAAAAAGTCCGAAACAAAGCAAAAGTACAATCATGAAAACAAGTACACTGTCATACACAAACAGGCAGACCCTTGTGACTAGACAGGACTGTGGGAGCCGGGCATATTCATAGGAGCATTTAGAACTTTTAACTGCAAAAAACGTGCTCCTCAGCCTTGTGAATGTGGCCATGGCCCCACATAGGCCCCCTCCCCCTCCCGTCTCTGGATTTGTGAATATACAGATGGCAAAGTATGTGCCTGGATCAGAACTGAAATATATGTGGAATCTTCTCCACAGCCTCCACATCAAACAAAATGGATCTGAGTACTTGGGAAACGTGTTTTACCTCTTTGGAATAGCACCACTAGGGGGGAGACGGAAGAGGAGAATGGGAAGCAGCCACCACAAACATCACCGCCACCACGTCCCTCTGTTTACCTGGTGGTATGCAGGCATTCTGCACTCCGTCCTCGTTTTGCCCTGGGCAGCAAAAGAAGCTCACTGCACAGACAGGATGGCGGTGGGCGAGACGGATAAATGAGACGTGGGCAATGCCATGGCATGCCGGTGGAAACATGACAGGGAAAAAACCAGATTGTCTGCACTAGCATATTTGCTTAAGAGGTTAAACAAAAATAAACATGACAGCATTTAAAAAATTTAAACAATAAAGTACAAACATCATGGTCGAAGTCCCAGCTGTTGCTGATTTGATATTGTATTTCAAAATGATTTTATAAAAATATTAAAACAAAACCAAACTAAACCTTCCCCAAATAAGATACAGAAATCTATTTCCAACTATAGACATTTGAGTATTTTTCAAACTACCATAAATTTGGCCTTTCTGATACTAATAGGAACCCTAAAAACTTTTATTTCTTGTTAGCAACTTAAAGTATGCTAGTTTTCTTGGTTTTGACAGTTGCTGAAAATGCAATATCACATTATGTTTCTTATTAATCAACTCTGAGTATACTTGACAAGGATTTTTTTTAAATCTTAGAATCAATACTTCTTCTGTATTCAAACATTTCATTATGCTGACTGCCCTGGTCAAGGAGCCCTTTGCTGTTCCTCCAAACCTAGTTCCTGGTAGCCCAGTAGCCCTCACTCAATTCCAGCAGCAAGCCCAGGACCCTGCTTCTCAGAGGGGCTCCCTGGCCTGGCACCCAGGGAGTCCACTCTCAAAGTGTTGACTCTCCTTCCCACAGTGGGGTGGCAGGTGGGAGGCAAGAAGTTCTTCTTGAGTTCTGGGTCCTTGACTCCATAGTGAAAAGTCACTCAGCACCACCATCACCTTACACCTCACTGCAGGCTCTCCCGCTTTGAAACCAGAGGAGAGCCTTCAAAGGGTAGGCATTATAAAACTGCAGTCAGACCAGGGCTTCACCAAATCTACAGTACAGGTGTGTGGCGACTCAGAGAAAGCCTGTGGCACGCAGGACAGCAGATTCATAATACAGTGCTATAGTCATGGTTCCCAGGAACTACTTATCACAAATAAATGCAGAGCTAAACTTAAGCACACATGTCTGCAAGAAAGAATTCACCTCAATATTCTGCATTCTACAGACATTTTACAGAAAGATCTAATGGAAAAAAGGTGTATAACAGAAACACTACCCTGAAGTTCTCACAGAAACTCTGCATATTAGCTATCTTTCAGAAGACCTGTATCCAAAATGTTTTAATTACATAAATAATGCAATTTTATAATTACTTCAATAATATCCCAAACACTATGATCCACAAAGATAAAATATTTAGAAACTGCTCATAAAATTGCTATTATTTACAATTTACAAGTTGTACCTTTAAAATGGGCCAAATATAAATTTTGATTTTGTTTAAAAAAGAAGATTATACAGTATGTCAGTCAGATACCCAGATACTTCCTAGAATTGCATTTCTGTCAAAACATCCTAACAGCTGTTCTCGAGAGGAGCTTGATTGAATGAGCTCCTTTCACTGTCTCGCATACCATGCTACAATATCTGTGTGTATTAAAACAGCAAAAGTCATGATGCCAAGACAACAGTTTGGGCCAATACCTGTCTTGCTCTGATAAGTACTGACTGTCTGCGTCTCTGGCTCTGCGGTCAGCTGGGCTTCGGGAGGCATCATGGTGTCTGGTTGGAGAACGCGACCTTCTCATTGGATGGATTTCATCTAAACTCCTACAATGATGACAATTCACATGTGTCAGTGTATCATCCTCCCCAAACAGGCAGACAGACTCAAGACAGGGAGAGGACGGTAATGCCCTAACTGTCCTGGTGAGAAGAGTATGGGTGTCAGCACAAGTCCTATTGGGCCTGTGACTGGCGCATTTCTCCCCTGTGAGCCTCGTGTTTAGGCTGCTCCAACCTCCTCTGCACAGTTATCAGAAGGGAACAGTGTTCATCTAAGCAATAATTACAACGACAGACCCGATGTCAGGGTCAAGTGAAGCAGAGCACTGTATGATGTGTTTTACTTATGTTTCCAGCACTGAGAGTGCTTCAAAGAGACCATTCTAAATCTCAGAGAAACCCAGCTGCCCCATCTTCAATCTTGGAAAAGCCCAGGCACCAGGCACCCCCTGACCTTTTCCTCATGCCCACTTCTCCCCACACCTGAGTCGTCACCATGTAATGTATCCTAACAGGAAAGAAGATCAGCCCACAGAACACGAGGCAATCCTTCAAAAACTGTGCTGAGGACATAAGCTCCTCTACTCCTGGTACATTACTTCAGATGAAAGAACAGACTGCTGCATGGCTGGGTTGAGATGCCCAAAGCATTTTGCCTACAAATGACTCTGGAACAGTCATTTGCTTGACTCAAGCATCTTTTAGCCTCAGGTGGAGTGCCAGGTGGAGCTGCAGCACCTGACACCGCATTAGAATAAAATTAGGCCCTCCGAAGCCTACCTCTGTAAGGGCACGTTTGGTAAGCGTGAGCGTGGCCTGCCCTGGTCGTCACGGTGTGGAGACACGGAGCGTGAGCGGTGGTGCGTGACCCTCTGCTGCTCTGGCACGGTGAGCGTTGTAGACTTACTTTCTCTAGCGCCAGGCCTGTAGCCCACTGGCAGGAGGACACAGAAAATACCGTTAGCATTCTCCACAATGCAATGTGGAAATGCCACGGTACATTCAAGAGGCCTTCACCTGTGAGATTTGATGCTGTGCACAGCACCCACCTTCTCTTCCAGGGTCTCAGGCACGTGTGTGCAGTGTGGCAGAGACAGGCCTGGGAGAGATCGCGGCTTAGCTCAGAAGTACCGTGGAGACACTCATATGTCTATAGCAGCTGATGCCTCACACATCACACTAAGTTGGGACCCTATTTTCATTTAAATTATAAATGAATTTTTGAGTTTTCAGCAACCCAAATCAAGCACTTGACAGTGAACTACAGTTAATAGTCAAGTAAAGGTTTAGAAATTTGGTGTCTCTTTAAATTGAAATAAATTCAATGAATTTTTCTTCTAAAGGATAAATTATTTTAGTTAGCTTGCTGATGGACTCAGCAATAAGAAAGTAAAAATGATATCATACTAATTTTAGTTAACTAAGAATAGCACCAGGGCTTCACTATTATAAATCCTGATCTTGAGTTTTGCAAACTACAGATAATGCTGCAATTTTCAAATGTAAATAGTGTCTGAGTAAACATGACTCTGACAATAACCCAGAAAAAATTAGCCCCTCTAAAGAACCAAGTCTATTCTAGACATCTGAACCTATGCCACAATTATGTCAATTATTAGTGCAATTAAGTGAATACCATTAACATAACTGCAATTTAAAATAAATTCTAACAGTCACTTTCTCCTTGAAGTAAAAAAGGTTTATATTGTCTCTAATTTGATTAAGGTAAAACAGTAATCTTAAAACCATAACAGTTTAGAGTTTAAAATTTTTTCCACAAGAGTCACTGTTTTTTATTGCAAGAAAAAATGTGGCAATAGAAAAAAATATTATATTTATAACTACGTAAAATATACACAAATTATGAAAATATTAAAGTTAACAGCTAAAACTGTTGCTCATTTTTCACTTGATGCTTCCTACATTATCCTAAAGATGTGTCATAAAACATCATTATTAAAACAGACTAATATACCCCCTTAATTTATTTATTGTGAATTCATTATCTCATGCCTCAGGAACATTTCAATGTTTAAACTTTTCATTAAGTGCAATTTGACAATTTTGTGATCAAAGCAGTGCAATCATTTTATCACTCTGTAAAACCATCAATTTAATAATCAGAAAAGGGTATAATTTATAATTTTATATTCTTCAATTTTATAGTCTATCAAATAACAGCAATTAAGCTATTATTGAGTTTTGTGTAAAAAAGTTTTACTGTTGTTCAGATGTATAAATTGTAACATTAATGCCAGAAAGAGACCAACTAAATTAACATGTAGTGAACATACTACATAGCTCATTATTTTAAAAATGGTGATTTTTAAAAAAAATAATTATTTCAAGATTTGAATTATTTAAATATTTTAAATTATCATTTGGTATCAATAATTAGGGAAGGCCAATATTGACGTTAGTGTACCATTTCAAGATTCCAATGAATATTCAAATTATATAACTAGATTTCCTATAATTAATTATTATAAACTAAATTGCGGGTAATTTTTGTGTCTTGCTATTTAAAGTGCATAATTAATTCTTTTCTTGAGTTCTTTGTTTTTATATAGAAATTAGTGCCTCTTTTATCTTATTATAAGAAGGGACTTTAGGGAAACAAGCACTACCCTAAAAAATTTTATATTCATAACTATTTTTTTTTTTTTTGAGTTGGAGTCTCACTCTGTCACCCAGACTGGAGTGCAGTGGCCGCTCCCGGCCACCACAGCCTCGACCTGCTGGGCTCCGGCGATCCTTCCGCCTCAGCCTTCCAAGTAGATGGAACTACAGGCATGCGCTACCCATGCCCAGCTGATTTTTTATTAATTGTAGAGATGAGGTCTCACCAAGTTGCCCAGGCGGGTCTCAAACCAGCAGGCTCAGGCAATCCACTCACTTCGGCCTCCCAAAGCGCAGGATTACAGGCTGAGCCACTGAGCCTGGCAGTAAATTATATTTAGATGTGTTGGTAATGACAACATTAAGGCTGACGAAGGCCAAGAATTTTGCCAGGTTTGATGACTTTTTTTTTTAAACCAGAAATAACCTAATTCCCATTTGACTATGCCAAACAGATTCACATGTACAATCACAGTTGCCCTTTTAATTTCATAAAAAATAAATATGCTGTTATATGTTTTGTGAAAGTTTCTATTGAGAATGTGTATAGTTTTTATGGTCTGTTAAGAAAGCAAAGATGAAATGCTATTCACTATTATCCAAATGTGTATATGGACTAGCACAGGACTAGATTTATTGTTTTGATAATCTTTGCTACATCACAAAAATTTTACTAACTGATACAATAAAAAATATGTTGGCTTCAAATTAATACTGAATCTTTCTAAAGCATTTCTTATTTTAAAACATATACACACATTCCAGATGTAATAAGTGGTACACACATCATAAAAGCATTAGAAGGGATAGCCATGCCACATGCAATGTTAAACCCTGCCATTCATTTCTCTTGCATATTCCATGGAGGCCACATTATTTTTTAGAAATGGAGAAATACAGATCACAGAAGTTTAATATAATACACAGGAGAATGAGACTTTTCTTTAATGACATAAACCATATCCTTTCAGAATGGAACACCTATTTTCATTGTCATGCAGAGTATCATGAAATAGTGATTTGCTTCACCCGGTTACCCACATGTCTAAGGAAGAACCCAAATGAATTATTAAGGGGAGAGGCTCATTCACAGAGACTAGTCCACTCAAAACCATCTTAACAATTTGAAACATGGAATCACAGAACACTGATCTCTCTGTGCTGCGATCTCCAGTTCAGCATTCTCAAGACACCTAGGAATCAGTCACATGGCAAGGCAGGCAGACCGTACTCTTCAACACATACCTGGAGGAACCACTCCAATGCCATCATCCACCTCAAAGTCTGAGATGTCGCTGTCGCTGATGCGCTGAGATCCTGCCCAAAAGCAAGGCCACAGAGACCTCTGTGTCAAGTTGGGTGCAGAGTATAAAGGACAAGGCCATTTTTAAAAAAATGAATGGCATTACCACCCAAGACTTTCAAGCAGAAATCACAAGAGGCAAACACTTATCTTGCTTGTATAGAAAGTTTGTTCTCTAAGGATAGTATTTTATCAGTATTTTCTCTTTATAACATTATATTGAAGACATGTAGAAATAAAGTGATTTTAAAGGATAAAGGTTTGAGTTTCCAGATTATCCTTTAATTAAAATATTGTAGTAAAAGCCTATAGCAAAGTGAACTCAGCACACTGTTTTCTACACAATGAAATGCCCTCACAGTTCAGAGAACACGAGACTAAATGGGAGAGACATTCTTGGCTATACTCTCCCGAACCCATATCAGCCCCAGGGCAACAGGGCCCTTCATAAAATACTTATGTTTAGCTTCCAAAATTAGTCATTACATTGCGTTAAACATTAATTTTGAGGAAATGACTGATCAAGAGAGCATTAAAATGAAATATTCAATTGTATGAAAAAAATTGGATTCAGATTACTAAAATCAATCTTCTAAATGTCAGCAGTTAAATGAGATTTGGCTGTCACTCAAAAGTGACTGGTTATGTACAGAAAAATAGATTTTCCCAGTCACCATTCAAATAACAATAAATATACTTTCTAACATTTAAAAAATATTTCTCATGAACAACGATACTTAAAATAACTACGAAGATAAAGTCATTAATCTTCACATGTAGCAACCCATCCACAATCACAGAACTTTTTCTCTCAGTTGGTTTATCAGCAGCTCAATCAGTTCTGCACAAGACTTATAGCTCAGAGTTTTCAGTTCTCAGCTCTGGAATGGCTCCTCTATGCTATCTACAGTATTTTCATTGTGAAAATGTAGGAATAATTTTGCCTAGTTTCTTTATATAAAGAACAGTGTTCCAATATTTTGATCTCTAATAAAGCATTTGAACAAATATCTCGGGTGTTAATCATTAATCAGATCATTACAGCATAATTGCTTTCTGGTAACTACAAAGAGCTTCACCTACTTTGCAACTTTTTGCTGGAGCTTTCTCCATGGATGTGTCGCCTGGGCATGAACGGCGAGGGGTGAGGCAGAGGTAGTGAGGATTCATCGTGTGTCTGAAGCTTATACCAATGTGGCTCATCATCTAAAAGTGCCGTCTCCAATTCTATGAGGATCTGAAAGGGCAGTTCTCACATTAAACCATGCCCCTGTACCAAAATATAGTGTAACTGCAATCATAAATGATAAATACCACAAAAACATCATTAAACAATGGACCTTGAGTCTTTGTAGTATACATCACCTCTCCAAGAAATTCACTTTCCTCTTCTTGCGCTCTCGGCTGATCCCACACAGTAATTTCTAACATTCTTTCTCTAAAATCTCTACGATGTACATGGGAATAGACAAAAGTCTGATTCCATTTTGGCTCTAGGAGTTTCTTTACTGTTTTGGTCCTCCTTTTACTTTTATCACTGAAAAACAAGCATGTTTTATAAATGAAAAAGCAAAAACAAGTATATGCTGCCATCTACTGAAACTAAATCTAATACTGCCATTGGTGCTTTTACTATTTTTAATTTATAAGTTATTGAAACTCAAAAGAGACCATAGGGTTTAATAATATTCTAATTCCAGTAACAACATACACAGCCTTTGGGGTTCTGGACTCATCGCCAAAGGGCCATTCTCCATGATGTGTTGCCTTGAAAGACTAATATATATATAAACAAGGCAATGGACATTGTCTAAATTGGCAGATTTTCAAATAAACACAAGGCTTTAGGGCTTTTCTTTTAAAATCAGGGAAAATGGAGTTTATATCATCACAGAAATGATCTATTACATTTTAAAAATAAATCCAAAAGAAGGAGTTTCTCTCTTTTTTGTTAGTATAGATTTTATCATATTTTTTTCGAAAATTATTCACTACCTTCTATCTGGAAGAAAATACATTTTTACGTAGGGATTCCTGGGACGCCCGTCAACTCTAGGGGGTAGGTCTGTTGCTTGCAGAACGTTCACAATCAGCTGGTGTCCTACTTTATCATACCACAGCTTTACCTGAGGGCCGGTAGAAAAAAGTACAGGGGAAAGGAGGTACATTATCAGTTTGTATAAAATGGCGTTAAACAAGAGTTGAATTGCAACGTAATGTAATTACAGATACTACTTCTGAAGAGAACACCAACTGGAAAACATAACCACTCAGAACACACACCTCACAACTGCTAGGTCGGCAGTATCCATTCGCACTCTCATAGATCATCTTATAAAGATAAAACTAACAATATTTTTAAAAATACCTAAGGGAGGGCACTGTAGTCATTATCCTTGTTCTTATGCATTGAGCACAAGTGTTGGTTATCATCCAAGTGTCGTAATGATTCCAGTGGGGCCAGATGTATACTGAGTGCCAGAGGGAGTTGAAATAAAATCTAAGTTTCCACATTAGGAATCAGATAAGGCATCAAGAGAGATAACCAAATATATTTACTGTGGAAGTATTTTATACTAGGCATTGCTAGGTGTTTTTTGGTATTGTTCATATTTAATTTTTATAATTAACCTATTACAGACTGATTTTCATGACAAAGGAGGAAAACACAAAGGTTAGCACCATACATCAGCAGCCCCTTCAAGCCACATGAAGGCCAGTGAGCTTTCCAATAACTCAGATCTCATGGCAGGTGAACTCATGAACATGGGGAAATAAGATGGAAATACTACTGTCACACTCGAAAGCATCACAGCCACAGCAGTCAGCGAGTACCTATGCCAGCAGCGGTAAGGAACCCTGAACTGACAACGTGAACTTAAACGTGTTTTCTCTCTAATTTAAAAATTACCTTTAATTTTATGGTTGAGTAAACACCTATTGTTAATGTCGGAGTATACTTGAGTCAGACAACAAAATCAGCTAATGTTTTTCATCATAAGGAAGACTAAGAACTCAAGCCTGGATTTTTATGCACCTATTCCTCTGGTTCCCAATAAATACCAGAGATGTGATTTTCATAAAACCAAAATGGATTTCCACCCTCTTTGAACATGTGAGCGGAGAATATGAGAGATTTACATATACTGAAAATAAAGACAGCAGGGCAGATGCAATAAAACACAAATGGCATTAAAGAGATATTCAAGACACTAAAAATAAAAGCGAAAACAAACTTTAGGAAATAGCAGTAAGCATACACCTATCTTCTTTGTCTCATTAAACCCGAGCAGAGCGCAAAGGCAAGCTACGGAAACCCACACATTATTACAGGAGTGAAAGGTCACTAATTGCAGAACAATTTGAAGCAAGTTACAGTAACATGAGGGCTTCAAGTTATTAATACAAACACCCCACTTTCAGCCATAATCTGCAGCTATACGGCTTTTCCAGATCCTCACTCACCATTCCTACGCTCACTTCCCAGATCACTTGATGAGGCCACAGGGAGCCGAGAGGGAATATCTCCTGAGGACTTTTGGTGCCCAAGAACCTGAGGGCTTTTGGTGCCCAGGAAGAATTCTACCAAATGTCTCATAAAGGTGAAAATAACATCTTAAATTTATTATTGGGCTCTAGGTGCACGAGACTGTTAAGTAAACGGAACATGCTTTTCTAAGATTATTACGGGTCAAAAATTATTTACCTCAGAAACCATACACAGCACACCAACAGTGTGGGCTCTATTCACTTATGTTTGCACTCATCGAGTGTTCAGAGCACCTGGCACATTGTGGGCACTCTGCACATCTCTGAATAAATGTGTGAATAAAGAAATAATAAAACAATACAAGTGTGGGAAGTAGATTATGGTGTCAGATGATTGTATTGATCATGGGTTTCAAGGAACGCCAGACACATTTAAAGACAGACTCAGACAGCGAGAAAATACTAATGGTCTCCAACTGGTACAAGAAATACATACGGAAAGTTGCCCTGGTAAAACTTGTGGGGCATCTTTTAGAGCCCCAGGACTTGTTGGAGAAATAACAGAAATGGAAGGCCTCTCCATCTTCTGAGATTCAAAGGAACTTGAACCTAAAATAAGAAGAAAAAAGAAGTAATATCTGTAAGTGTGGGCAATAAATCTTTTAAGTATAATATGAAATGCATCTTATTTTATATAAAACATAATCATTGATAACAGTATCTACTTTGAATGGAACAGTTGTAGAAAGTTACTATTTTGTCCTCTTGGGTCAACTGTCTATTTTAAAGATATTTAAAATGAAATAACAAAACGCTGTGCTGGTTTCCACTGGAAAGTGCTGATCTATATTTCTGGAGGACATCACATTGCAGGGGCTCTTGTACAACTTCACAGACAGGTAAAAGCCTCATGCTTCTGAGATAAGAAAGATGCTGTCTATTAGGCTCATTATCTGGTTAATGGGTCATCTAATATGAAGTACCCTTACTGAGAAATTGAAATGAATGCATTTTGTAATATAATGTATGAGCGTCACTTAAACCTAGCTTTTATCATGGTGTTAAAACCAGAGATGATGTCTGTCTCAGTCTGGATCTTGCAAAGGAACCTCTGTGCCTCTGAGTCACTGCTTTTAGTCAGTCACTTTGCTTGCTGCAGCCTGTCATGGAAGAGACTGGCATTGACCTCCTCCTCAGCCATGCAGCAGAGTACTTCTCTGCTCTGTGCACCCTGACAGAGCAGGACAGAGTGTTTAAGGAAGGTGCTTCCCCAGTAGGCATTACTTCGAATTCATACCCACACAAAATATGGCAAATGCTTCAATGAGAAACACTGCTTATGGAGCACTACCTGAGTGTATGCAATCCACACATTGTTTCTGTACTCACAAATTAAGTCTAATTTAAGGCTCATGCCATTGGTCTGTGCCCTCCAAAGACTTTTAACTATAAGAAACTCAATGAAGTTCTTTGTTACTATGTATCCTTTATCAGGTATATTTAAAATATATTTTCTTGGGTCTCTGAACAGGAACGCTGTTGCTTCTGATAATCAGTTTGTTTCCAGCATTATAGCAATCACTTTATTTTTAATCCTATCAATGATAGACAGTATGCATTTTTCCATTTCTCTCTTTGTACCAGTTACCAGAAAGTGCAAAGCCACATCTGTGCCCACATCTAGCAGGTATGTAGAACATGTGGTGTGCACGTTACATACTAACCTGGTCTGTTTACCTGTTTATCCTACTCATATATTTTCTTCCCTTCTAATCACTATCATTAGAGTTCCCTAAGTTACCTTGTATTTCCTGTTTCTAAAAACTAAGTTCCGTGATGACACCTGGGAAACCAAGTCCAGGAATTTGTGAATGCTCATCCACAAAGTGCATGCAAAGTGAATGCTTGGGTCACCTCTGCACTATAATCGAAAATTCCATTACCTATATGGAATTTTACTGCACAGAATATCACCTTCTGTCATTCAGAGTGACTTTAATTCCCATAGAGATAATCCTCTAGTTTCACAGTCCCTTGGCCATCCCTCTTATGTTCATGGAAGGTGACCTCTGCTCCACCCACTCACATCTGTGTTCATACCAGACACTTTGCCACGTGGCATTGCAGTTATTGGTTAATGTGTCAATTTCCTTCACTAGATGACTTATGAGACTGGGCACTTATCAAAAGAGAGAATCGGTATCACAGCAAATTTTCATGTAGAGCAAACAGAACTATTACTGGGATACTGAGAGGGTCATGAATGTTAGGATATAGAAAGGTATTGCCAGGAATGATCTTTGTATAACTAAACAAAGCAAAAGGCAGAGGAAGAAAATTAAAATTCTTTTTTTTTTTTTTTTTGAGTTGGAGTCTCACTCCTCACTCCATCGCCCAGGCTGGAGTACAGTGGCACACTCAAGGCCACACCAGCATCGACCTGCTGGGCTCCAGCAATCCTTCTGCCTCAGCCTTCCAAGTAGTCAGAACTACAGGTGCATGCTATCATACCTGGCTAATTTTTGATTTATTGTAGAGACAAGGTCTCCCAGGCTGGTCACGAACCCATGGGCTCAGGCAATCCACTTGCCTCAGCCTCCAAAAGTGCTGGGATTACAGGCTAAGTTACCAAGTCCGGCCTAAAATTTTTAAAGTGAAACAGAGCTTCTGTCAATATCTAGTGATGCCAACACTGTTATCATCCAGTATCAGTGGAGACATCCTTCGGATAGTAATGTCAACTGATTATATCAAAAACCTCAAGAAAATGGCAAATCTTTACTCTCCAATTAGTTCAACACTTCTTCTAATAACAAAGGAATACTCACTGGACTCCAGTGGAGGGTGGGAGCTCTCAGGGATCCGGGGAATGTCACTAAAAGAAACACAGCATGGTGAAAATCCCAACAATGAAATTCCCCAGCCTGAGGCAATCAGCCCATCTTATGTGATGTGAAAAATCCTTTGGGTCTTTACAGGTGTGGAAATGGACAGGAATTACTACTAAGGCAATTAATTACTAATGTGCATGAATGTCAAACACCACACACACATAAAAAAACTGCAATAAAATAAGTTTTTATATATTTAATAGCAAAACATTTTAAAATGACAACAATCAGACTAATATTGCGGCTAAAATCACCACAATATTTTTACTACCAAAACAGCAGGTTTTGGAAATAAAAAAATGTTAAAGGTAATATTTGATTTAATTCCAGAAAATCAAAATGACACAAATTTTACAAAACAGTAATATGCTTTACAAACACATCTGAAAGAGATTACTGAATGAAAGGATGGAAACAGCTTGATAATAAGTGATATAGTGAATGTAACGGGCAAAGTTAATAAAATGAAAAGGATGAATTGCTCTGGAAATTAAAAATGGTTCAAGCTTGCAACGAAAAGCCAAAATATTTTATATATGTGAATATATGATTCATATACACATATATACCCTTTACAGATATTCAAATCTCTATAGTAAAGTTAGCTAAATATATGGCTATTTGCTGTATGGCTAGTGACTTGTGGAAACCCCCATTCCTGCCACAAATTGCTCTTGTAGAAATACTTAACACAACTTCTGCTCAATCATTCCCCACTGCATCCTGAAGGGCCCTGGGTCACCTTAGTTTGGCTGTTATACTACACAGGACTATGCACCTCTCCTTTTCCAAAGGTACTTTAGTGGTGGTTTAAGGCAGGTATGCAGGTGTCAACATGACATGTTAAAGCAGACTGGAGCCAGGAAGCACCCATAGAATCATCAGCACATTACTAGAGAACTTCTAGCCACTCGCCTTGGGACCTAACTTTACTTTGGTTTTCTTTTCACTTTTGGGGGGAATGGAAATAAAAACAGTTATTTCTGTTTGTTCTCTAGATTTCTCATTTTCACTCTTTTGTGCAAAGTACTTCTCATAACCACCTAAAATCTATACTTCTTACAAATGACAACACATTATATGTCATGTGTATTATAAAATACATTTTATTATATATTTTTGTATGACACAATTTATATAAAATACATCACTTAAGTTAATTTATAATTAGGAGACTAATTTAAAATACCTAAGACACGTACAAAAAAATATTTATCTTCGGCTACCTTCTTCTGAATTCATCTAAGCAAGTAACAGTAAACTATAAAAAATCCAGGAACAATGAATTTAAGATAGCATGACTCTTTCAAATATCATCAACAGAGTCCACTGTGAAACTAGAAGTTTTAAAGCCCGGTAAAAGCTTTGGAATCTATATGTCTGTGAAAGAGAAATGGTGGGGAATTTGTTGATAGAAATTGTAAGTGATCTTGAACCAAAATTTACTTGTGTTAATTACTTCAGTAATATTTTCAGACATAAATTTCTACTTACTATCTAGAAAAACTTTTGTAGTTAGCTCCTCTCAAGTTGTGAGGTGGTAGAGTTATATTAATAACAATTGAAGTTCAAGGGTATTGTATTTGCTGGGTTCATAAAAATGATCAGTACCACAAAGTGGCTGATATCTCCTCGACTGTGATCAGTACCACAAAGTGGCTGATGTCTCCTCGGCTGACCAATGTGCATGCAGATTACTATGCACTGAGTTCTGAACTCATAAATTATGAAGAAATACTTGCTTTCTGTTTTAAATTAATTATAGTTGCCATACAGAACTACACAAAACATATTTTAAATGTTTATTAAAACATATTTATATATTTATTAAAACATAGCTAATGTTCTTCTTCTAGGACTCTAATAATGTATTAACTAGAAAGTTGATGCCAGTTTTGGTTTTCTTCAATAATATTCCTCACATTCCATATATCTTTGAATTCTATAATCCACAACAGTGTAGGGTCTGGCTATGCAGATGATTACTTCTTTAGTACTTTTCATACAAAAGTAAAAACAAGCTATGCCAGTCTACTTTAATTGTCTTATTTTTTAAGTCACCATGAATCAATGATGTTTTAGCTGACTACTTTTAAACCACTATATATCTGAAAGTATTTGGCAATGTGTACAATGCATGACTTTAAACTTTATTTTTTATACTTTTGATTCATTTCCAAATTTACTTACCTCTTTTCCAGCCTGATATTTACCTCAATACTAGAACATGTGTCATGTAAAACTAGCATAAATTATAGTGCTATTATTTTTAAAATCTACATGGAAATGTATAATACTTTTGCAAAAATCTTCAATGTTCATTCTGAATAATCACCACTTAGAACTAGTTATAAGTTTACACGTATTTTAGAGTTTTATCTATTAATACTATTCTTTGGTCTGTGTTCATACATTTTCAATCCTTGAAAATTATAATTATACTTTCTTGTATGTTTTGCATTGACATATATTCATAAGGATAACAAAAATTTAAGGTTAGTAACTTTTTAATATAAAAAACCTTGAATTAATGGCTCTATAATATCTTGGAGAATAGGGAAAAAAAGAATCATTTCCAAGAATACATTCAAACATTAAGCCAACTATAATGAGACAGTTCAAAATTCTTTCCAGAACTCATAGACTGGCAAAACAAATATTTGTTCTGGATTTTGTGGGTTTGCCAAAAAAGCTAATAATATGGGAAATTTATATATAGGTATAGAAAATATTCCACTGGCTGCAGATAATTAAGTTATGCTAGAAATTGAAGTTTAAAAAATATTATGATCAATTATTAGGACCAATTAAAATGTCAAAATATTTAATATTCTTGCTTGACTTTAAATGAAAGTTGGAACTACCCATGGGTAAAAATGTAGAAAAAACATTCTTTCCTTAGTAAAATAATAAAAGGTTCATGTAGACACATGAAACCATTAATATTTTAAATATCACAAGAAGAGGAGTTTCCTAGTGGCTCCCTTAAGGGAAATAGCACTTATTAAGCTAGAACTATTAAAAACAAACAGTTCTGCCATCAAAAGAAAATATTTCTACTTTATATTTCATTTGTGAAAAGTACGTATCAATACTTTTTGTTATTACAATTGTCAAACTGTGGAGCTTCTAAAATGTAGTGAAGAAAATTCAGTATTCAAGTTTTAAAAATTAAGAAATTTAAAAAATCTAAAATGTATGCCCCAAATTGATGAAAAACCTATCCAAGTTAACATGTACTGTATGAATGTATAAAATTCTTTTTGAAACCCTGCTAATACATGTAATTTACTAAACTTAAGAAGTAAGTTTTTTTAGCCTTACCCAATAGGCCTTGAAACAATAATTTCAACTTGAGGTTCTGATTTTGATTCTAAAATAATGTTGTAAACTTCTTCATTTGTAGCTCCCGGCAGGGGTTTACCATTCCATTCTAGAACTTCATCCCCTTGAATTTAAAAAAAAGGGCATTTTTTTACCTTATATATTCTGTTTATTGTTCTTATCTTTTCTCTTTTTAAACAAAGAAATGCAAAACATATACAAATAATTTAATTGTAGAGGCTCTGCTCTCAAAAGCAAATTGACTGCCATAGAATGTCGACTAAAATGGTTCTTTTAAACACTTTTTTTCTTTTCTTTGTTTTCCTGTTTTCCCCCCAGTATATCACTGGCCACTGGAAACAGTACAATACAAAACTACCTTTATCTTTTGAGATATACCAGAAATAATATAAAAATAATCTCATGCTATGGGATGGAATTAGCACAGCCTACTTGGAAACATTAAAAAATAATAATAAGCAGCATGCCCTCCATATAATAAATTTAGGCCTCTCTACTTGTGAAAGATTCTTGGTAAACTGTGCATAAATCCTCTTTTGCTTTAGGAACGAACAGCAATTCACATTTGTTAGCATGAATTTTCCAGTGTAAGTCATGCTTCACTGTCTTCACCAGATGCACAACAGAATAAAAAAGCATGAGAAGATCTGAATTCTCACCCGCTGGTGAGGCAGGTAGCTATGGCAGAATTACAAAGCAAGCAGATGTGAACTTGCATGACAGTTAACCCACTTCCAGATGTTCAAAACACATACATTCTACACATCATCTATGCTGTGACAGTAAAGTACAAGTAGAAAATATTTTTAAATAATACAAAATAATAATAGAGAACTTATTAGTTTGTTAAATAGTTAAATATTCTAAGATGTAACCAAGGGGAGAAATACGATGTTGCATTAAAAAAAAAAATGGCCTAACAACTTATTGTGGTTATTTTAACTAGAGTTTTCACCATACATCATCTGGAAAAAATTATTTATTTTCATAAATATTTAAGCAGGTTTAGTTCCCACATGGTTATCTGCCCATACCCTTTGATTCAAAATGGCAGTCTCAGCCAAATACCCCAGTCTCAGTGACACACTGAGGTGTCTTAATTTTGGCGTGCTTATTTTGTGTTCTCAGTGTCTAGGACGTTTTAGTAACTAAGTATATATGTGTTGAGATGTTGGATCTATATCATTATTAAGCATCATAAAGCTAGGTATAAATAAAACATCTTTTTGTTTTTAGCTAGGTCTTTTTTTTCTTTTTACAAGAGTTGGAAAAAATGGCTTTATTGATGTAATTTTAAAGTAATTCTTTTTTTTCCAAGTGTTTGCTTACTCAAAAGTGAAAAGAAATGATGCTACTTTGGTTTGTTAAAATATTATGATTACCAGCACTTTAATGACTTCTAACAGCTTGCCCTGAGCAGTTACCTAGAAGAGCATTTCAAATAGGCAATATATCATACTTCACTGTAAAAAAAAAAAAAAAAGGAAAGAAAATAATTGCACATTTACAGTATGTTAGGTATTTCTTTTTGAACTGAGAAAAGAAACGAAGTTTGAATCATGGCCCAGTACACATATATATGAATATGTATATATGTATATTTATGTACATATGTTTACATATATATATATACCAAAAAATATTTTATGAAACAATACTTACTCTGAAATTTCCTATTGTTTTATTTCAATTTTTAAAAATGATGGATGCAAACCATTAAATTGCTTTACTGCCCAGTAATGAGTTGCAACTAGCATTTTGCAAAAGCACTGCATTATAAAATTCTCTTTATAGACAACAACCTGGAAGCATGACTTTTAATATCAAATTGACTTAATACATGTTTATTTATTTACAGGTCAATAACTCCTATGCCAGAAGGTGATGTTTTTTTGTTTTTGTTTTTTTTGAGTCAGAGTCTCACTCCGTCGCCCAGGCTGGAGTGCAATGGCACACTCACTGCCACCCCAGCGTCGACCTGCTGGACTCTGGCGATCCTTCTGCCTCAGCCTTCCAAGTAGCCAGAACTATAGGTGCGCGCTACCACACCCAGCTAGTTTTTTGATTTATTGTAGAGATGAGATCTTGCCAAGTTGCCCAGACTGGTTTCGGACCTGCAGGCTCAAGCGATCCACTCGCCTCAGCCTCCCAAAGTGCTGGAATTACAGACTGAGCCACCGACTGAGCCTGGCCTAGAAGGTGATCTTTTGAATACCATTTATATGTGGCTAATCTCTTCAGGCAAGGTTGTAGACAATGAGGGAACAAAGGCGAAAATGACACTTTGTCTTTAAATTTGGTGGTGGAGAAATAATACAGAAACAAATAACTTTAACAGAATATCCTTTTTGCAAGGAGAAGCAGAGCCAAGTGGTACCAGGGAAGGAGTAGTTAGTTGCTGTTCCAGGTGGGATGAAAAGGACTTCATCAGGCAGCACAGAAGAGCACCTATGCAGGCAAGAGGTGCTGCTCAGGCCCTGGGTGGCACACAGCTTGTTCAGGCCCACTGGGAGTGACACCTCTGCAGGGTGGACAGTGGCTCTTGTCTGTTCTGTAGTTAAGTTGAGCTTTTGACATTTTAGATTTAAGTTTCTCAGGCTCTCTGCTCATGAGGGTGTTAAATAAATGAAACTAATCACTAAGGGCTATTTTACATAGAATAACCCCTTTGTTGACTTCGTAAATGGTTTTCTGTTAAAAACACAAGACAAAATCAAAAGCCATTATGTTTAGAATCCGCTCTGCAAATTTGGGATCTTGTAGCTAAAGTTATCTTACATTAGTCAACAAAGGATTCCCATACTTTTTGAGGCATTAAGTTATCAGACAAAGACTCATTTTACTGACAATCACCCTTGACTGAGTTATTTTCTTCCTGAATCATAACTGGCCTCTGACAAAAAAAGAAAATCCATTAACATATGCATTCAAAGCCAAATAGGAGATTTTTAAAAATCCCTAATTAGGGTTTTCTCCCTATGCAGCACTACATAGCAAGGTTGCTATCAAATAAAAAAATCTAAAATGATTTGAACTGATATCCTGGTAAACAATTACATTAAAAAGACTTTAACAGTCCTAGAATATTCTCCCAAAGTTCTCAGGTAGTATAATCTCGAGGTTTAAAATTTGAAAATATAGTCTGGAAATGTTCTCTATATGTTATGCGTTATTAGAATTTGATTCTACAGCTTATCTAGATCTGCTTTCCTTTTAATTGTCTGGAACATGCAGAAACACCTATCCTAAAAAAAGATTTCTACTCAACTCCACAGTAAAGTCAAGGGAAAGAAATATGTTAATATGCCTTTAGCAAAAATGAAGAGTAAATAATTTATCAAAAATAGATTTTAAAATGCATTAGTAGTAAATAATGGCACATTTAAATATATTAAATGATTTTATTGTGTCATGTTAAGGTTATAGGGCAAAATAAGTAAATTTCCAAATAACAAAATGTAGTGCATCAGCATGAGTATATGTCATATTTAAATGAACAAATATGATGTAATCTGTATTAAAATGTGATTATTTGGTCTTATAAAAAAATTACTCCTGAATAACTATTTTGGGACCACTATGAAAACTTTAGTAATTAATATAGCTTAAAATATAAGCTAAAGAATTAAACTGTGATATGAAATGTTCTTTCACAAACCTAAATTGCTTTAGATTTGAAGTTTTGTAGCAATATTATAAAGCCATCCACAAACAAATGAGTGATCCTTCTGTATTTTGCATTATCTATTTTTTATAAATAAAATCTCTCTACTTACTGTCCAAATTGCGACTGATGGATATTTACTTATTATTGCAACTGCTAAGTATTCATATTAGGAAAAATTTTTATTCATGCATTAAAGTTAGTGACTTAATTGACACACACACACACACACACACACACACACACACACACACACACACACACACACACATATAACTAACCCCAAATTGAAAGCCATCAATACATGCATAGAGAACACATTGTTTAAATTTTAGAAAATCAGCTTTACCTGCTCTCAGGTGTCCAACTACATCTGCGAGGCTACCCTTCTTCACTTTGGTGATGAAAGCACCAAGGCGTCCTAAGTCAGTCATTTTTCCTCCAACAACCTGGGTAATTAAAAACTCGTAAGTTCCCAAGATTTATGCTGAAACTTACATTCTTTTAAGACGTATTTAAAACTGAGTGTAGGAACATGAATAAAGGCAAACACAGTTTTTGTTAAAGGAGCTGACAGAATAGAAATATCTCATATTTGAATGACCATGTGTCTTAAGGAAGTTTACGTCCTGATTTCTAAAAGCAACCCAGCAATAAAAGGATATTGCAAATAATGTGTACACTTAGAAAAAAACAGGTGCCAGGTTCCCCTCAGTATCAAACGAGTGTGTGACACTGTATATACTATGGCTCAGCTTCTTTATTTTCTAAATTCATGTCTACCATTTAAATCATTATATCTATATAAAGATAATACCCCATTGTCATATCAGATCTTCATTTATTTTGAATATCTATGGTAGAAGGTAGGTCTAAGACCATCAAAACTAGGGGATTCAACCCAAGAAAGGGCACTTTTGGGGAAGCAGTTGACCAAGCGTAACAGCTAAGTGCACGTCTGCAACTGACTATCCCATCTGAAATAAGTATCTATATATACAAAAACTGAGGTTGACCCCCACATTTCTTAGGGACATACCCATCAGTGGAGGTGATCAGAATCATCTCACAGAAAAAGCAACTAATGGCAATAATCAATAAGATAGCACTGTTAAGTACAATAACTGGCCATATTTTTAGTTGGATTAATAATGATTTTGAGAGGTCAAGTTATCACACAATGTTAATACAATCTCTTGAAAAGTAACAGTTTTAAAGCAACATCTTTAAATGTTTCTTTAAGTTACTGAAAGCAAATATGTAATCTAACACACATATACCTGTTTACATATAAAACATATGCATATTGTGTATATATGTATACTTTTTTACAATAAAGAATAATCTTTTACAATGTATCAATTTCTCATATCTGTTAGAAGCAATTACTATTTTAAAAAGTTACATTTTCCTCTTGGTAAATACTATTGTAATGGGTAAACAATCTCTTTAATGATGTTTTATGTTGCTACCCAAGATATAATATAATAATGGTACACATTATCTAACTTTACTACTTTCCACTTAAATCTTTTTAAGGTAAAAATCATCCTGAACTTTATATTCAGAGAAAATATTTTAGTCTTTCTATATTTTATTGTATTTTCATAACACATATGTATGCTATGTTAACACAATTATTTAAAGTATTAACTCAGATAAAAAATACTACATATGCCATGAGGTATAAATGTACTAACAAGATACATTCACTAGAAAAATTTCATTTTCGGGAGGAGAAAATGATATTTAAAAATAATTGTCAGAACCTTTGTTGAATACAGTCCATTCTATAATTCTTCTTTAAGACACATTTAAGCCAGCATACTCACTTTCAGACCCAGTAATGCACCTGATTCTTTGGGCATGGTTGTTCTCTTGTTAAGAATAACACGTCCAATTAATCGGTCCCCCTCTTTAGATGGCTGCCACGTTACAGGATGCTATGTAAACATGAATACAGTGTTAAAGGTAATATATATATACAAGATAATACTATTCAACCATAAGGGGAATGAAATCTTGTCATTGGAGGCAACATGTATGGAACTGGAGGATATTATGTTAAGTGAAATAAGCTAGGAACAGAAAATTAAACTCTGCATGCCCTTAATCACATGTGGAAGCTAAAAATGTTGATCTCACAGAAGTAAAAAGTAGAACACAGGATACTGGAGGTTGGGAAAGGTGGAGGAAGGGAAGGAGAGGGAGAGATTTGTTTAAATAAAAGAGATAGGAGGAATAAGTTCTAGGATTCTAACCACTGTAGGATGACCATAGTTAACAATAATATATTGCTTCAAATGGCTACAAGGAGAATATTGAATGTTCCCAACTCAAAGAAATGATAAACATTTGAAATGATGGATATGTTACTTACCCCGACCTGATGACTATACGTTATTTGTACTGAAACATCACCATATACCCCATGAATATATACAATTATTACATGCCAATTTAAAAATAAAATAAAGAAATAATAGCGAACTGCATAATAACTTAGAAATAATTACCAGGAAATATTTTCATTTAAAAATATCTACCCAAAAATATAGTTTAAAATACCAGGAAATGGATAAATGATGGCACATCCAGACAATGAAATATTATTCTAGTGGTAAAAAGAAATGAGATATCAAGCTACAAAAAACAAATAAAAAACAGGGAAGAACTGTAAATGCATATTGCTAAGTGAAAGAAACCAATCTAAAGCTGCTGCAGACTCTAATTCCAAAGATGTGACATATTGGAAAACACAAAACTGTGGCAACAGCGAGGAGGTCAGTGGTTGTGGGGCTGGTGGTGGGGGTGGATGGTGATGAGTAAGTGTAGCCCAGGGTTTAGGACAGGACAGCAACTTTGTCTGGTGTGTGATGTGGATGTGCATGTTACACCTGTCAGAACCCAGAGAACCCCCAACAGAGAAGAAACCTTGATATCAGCTTGGACTTGACTCAACAGTCATGCATGGGTGTTGGCTTGCCAATGTGACACCGGCATCACACTACTGCAAGGTTGAGCAAGGTTCAACAAGGTTCTGGGCAGGTGGGGTAGAGGGAAGACCATATGGGAACTCTGCTTTCTGCTCAGTTTTTCTGCGAACCTAAAACTGGTTTTTAAAAAAATTATTAATTTTTCTTTAAAAAGTAAAAAGTTCAATTTCTTCCCTATAAACATGTCATTACAGTCCCAGCATGAGGTACTTTCTTCAAAGTACACTCTAGAGGAAGTTCTTTGTTTTAGTGGACTCTATCCTTGGCTTATAGAAATTTTCACTTAAAGCTATATTTCTTTTGCAGTAGAAACGCACACTAAATGTTGCTGAAAGTGGTTAGCAGCTCGGTACGTCTCTTAAAAAATGATTCTGAAGTGGAATTAATTGAAATTTAAAACATATATGCTTATAAATAGAAAATGAATTCTATATTTTGAACCGGTGTTAATGTTAATACCCTTAGCCAAACATCTCAGTCTTACTTACCTACAGTCATTATTTAATATGTGTTTTCACTTGATTTAAAATCTGTTATAATTATTCAGTGATAACAAAAGCTTTTTTCTTCAAAACTGCACTGTCTTAAGATAAAATCAATATTTGTTCTCCTAAGATGTGCAGTGGAGCAGAATAAGATTGTCTCTTATCATATTGAACAAAGACAGTGGACCGCATGCAAGTGTGTCCCTTGACTCTGAACACCCACTCCAGAAGCTTACCGAGCTAATGGGTGACGCTTCCCGGCTGTGCCACGTGGCGGGATCCAACCAGTAATAATCCAAGTCACCTGGACATGGGAAAAGAGTGAAAGTGTCAGGTGAGGGTGACCTCACTCTACATGTGGCTTCTCCCATCCTTATGGTAAGGTAATGCTGTGAGGGCCCCGAGCTCACACGCGTAGCTTCTCCAATCCGCATAGAAGAGTGACAGATGTGAGAACCCCAAGCTCACACACATGATATCTTCTATTTCTATGGGAAGGTGATGGGTGTGTGGACTCCAAGTTCACGCGTGGCTTCTCCCATCCCTAGAAGAAGGTGATGCATTTGAGGACCCCAGGCTCACACATGTGGCTTCTCCTATCCCTACAGAAGTCTGATGGGTGTCAGGACCCCAAGTTCACATGCATGACTCTTCCCATCCCTATGAAGGGTGATAGGTGTGAAGACCCCAGGCTCACATGCATGACTTCATCCCTATGGGAGGTTGAGAAGTGTGAGGACCCCAAACTCACCCCTCTGGCTTTACCTCCCTATAGATGTGTGGTGAATGTGAGGACCCTGAGTTCACCCACTTCTCCTATCCCTACAGATGCGTGGTGGGTATGAGAACTCCAAGCTCAAATATGTGGCTTTTCCCTCTCTACAGAAGCATGGCAGGTATGAGGACCCAGAGTTCACCTGCATGCCTTCTTTCAACCCTACAGAAGGGTGGCAGGTGTGAGGACCCCAAGTTCAAACAAATGGCTTTCCCATTCATACAGAAGGGAGGTGGGTGTGAGAACCCGATGCACCAGCATGCCTTCTTCCGTTCCTAAAGAAGGGTGGCAGATGTGAAGACCCAAGCTCAACCATGTGGCATCTCCCATCCCTACAGAAGAGTGATGAGTGTGAGGATCCTGAGATCACACATGTGGCTTCTCCATCCCTATGGGTGGGTGACAGGTATGAGGACCCCAAGCTCACATCTTTGGTTTCTCCCATCCCTAGGGGAGGATGACAGATGTGAGGACCCTGAACTCACATGCATGGCTTCTTCCATTCCTACAGAAGTGTGATGGGTGTGAGGACTCCAAGATCACACACATGACTTGTCCTATCCCTATGGGAAGATGACAGGTATCAGGACCCCAAGATTACACGTGTGGCTTCTTCCATCCCTACAGAAGAGTGACAGGTGTGAGGACCCTGAGCTCATGTGCATGGCTTCTCCCATCCCTATGGAAGGGTGATGAGATGAGGACATTGAGCTCACATATATGGCTTCTCCCATCCCTATGGAAGGATGATGGGTTGAGAACACTAAGCTCACACACATGGTTTCTCTCATCTCTACAGAAAGGTGGCGGGTGTGAAGACCCTAAGCTTACTTGTGTGGCTTCTCCCATCCCTATGGGTGGGTGACAGATGTGAGGACCCTGAGCTCATATGTATGACTTCTCCCATCCCTACAGGAGGGGATGGGTGTGAGTACCCTGAGTTCACAAGCATCGTTCTTCCCATCCCTATGAAAGGGTGATAGGTGTGAGAACCCCAAGCTGACACACTAGTTTCTATCATCTCTACAGAAGGGTGATGGATGTGAGGTTCCCAAGCTCACATGCATGGCACCTCCCATCCCTATGGGAGGGTGATGGGTGTGAAGACCCCAAGCTCACATGTATGGCTTCTCCCATACCTACAGAAGGGACACAGGTGTAAAGACTCTGAATTCACACAATCCAGTGCTACAGTGATATCTATGATGAGTATAAAAGCGCTACTACCCATATATCACTGATCTATTTTTTGCAAGAGGGTGGATAGAATTGAATCCAGCAAGGAACTGTTCTGTGCCATCAGTGTCAATAATTGAGTGAAATTTCAGCTTTCTGCAATTTCCTATTGCTGATGATCCTTCAGCTCTACCATCTCCCACCTCCTCTCCCTCCTCCAGTCAGTAACTCTTCTTGCCTGTTCACTTGATGTCAGCTCCTGTATGCCAGCTGTTGTACTGTACTATTGAACTTTTCAAGGTACTGTACTGTAAGACTAAAAAATGCTTTTTGTGTGTGGGTTTTTAAAAATGCATTATTTGTGTGAAAAGTATTGTAAACCTATTACAGTGCAGTACTATACAGAGTTAATTGTGTTACCTGGGTATCCAGGTTTATGTAGGAGACTTACTGTGCTTTAAAATGTACACAGGGCTTTGTGCCCAAGAGTACAGACCTTTAGACTTCTCGGCCACATCATTTAGTGGAATATAAGGAAGTTGTAGAGGGATTTTTTCTCCTCTTTTACATTTACTACTTGTAAAAAATGCATATACTTATTTTTAAAATAGCTCTGTCTTTAGTATTATGACACCGTTCCTCCCAAAAGAAAAACTATTTATAATATGGATAAAACTGGAATGACTACTAATATAAATGCTCTTATTCAAAAAGTATTATTGTGATTTTTTTACAACTCAGTCCCTCACATTTCATATATCTAGCAATAAGCTTGATGACTTAGATGCTGTTTTATTCTGAAATACTGTGAACCACTGAGACATTTGAGAGGAAGGTGATTATATTTCCCTGAAATGCAAAAATGAGTCATTGAATTGAAAGTTACTTTAAGAATACTTGAAGTTTTAAAAAAAAGACAGAAACGTATCCTACTTTAAAGATTTAAAACAAAAGCTCATGATATTCCGTGAGTGCATGGTGACATGGGACTTCCAACCTGTGATCCTTAGGCTCTGGTTCTTGCCTGGCTCTTCCTTGGTGATTAAACTCTTCAACTCTAAGGCTTACTCACCTTTTCCTCAGTAGATCTAGGTTATATATCTTGGGGCTATTTGCTGTGCAAAATTGGTACTTAGAGGCAAAAAACCAAAAGCTGGTATTTCTGGTGAACTTCAGTGGCAAGATGCACACTGTATTAAGGAAACGTTACTTTTAAGCAACAGCATCCCTCACCCAAGAGCTTGGTTTAAGTTATGTCAATGGTGCACTTAATTTAACTGGTTTGGAATTGGGTAGACATACAGTTTTCTAGGTGATTTTAGTGTGCAGCCAGCACTTCACACTATCCAGAAATCCTATGCTTGCTACAGGTTTTGTAGCTTAAAAGTCATTTCTTTTGGTCATACATAGTATTGGGGCTAACTGCTAAATATTACCAACAAATGTAGATGAAAAATGCATCCAACATTTTAGCATTAAATATTTTTAAATATTTTATATATGAGAGGGGACCCAAAGAAAATGAATTTATTTATAAAAACTTGAGAACAGTTCCTAATAGTTTTCTAATTACTAATTTCATTATTATCCATTCAAAATAGAACACTCTGTTTAAAGACATGCTAAAATATGCTTCTGAAATATTCAGAATCTAGTATTTCATTAAAACAAAACATTTTTCTTGATTATTTTTCTAACAGCTGATTAAAGATATTGACTGCCTGGTGGCATAGCTGCAAAATGATAACCTCATGGTATCTACTTGTGAAATCAAGACAAATGCGTCTTGTTTCTAATAGTCAATATAACCTTAAAGAAATGAACTCAGTATTATTATTAATTTAGGCTCAGGAAATATACCAGCTGCTTTAGTTTACAGACATGTCTCAAGTTTATAACTAGTCAAGTTCAATGAAATATTATAGTTCTGAGCACTATTTTGTGTGAAGAATTTTAAAACAGACTTTTATCCAATCCCTTGTGAAAAAGTAGTTTAATTAAGCTTAGTAAACACACCACTTTCCATGCAACACACAAGTCAGCTAAGTGATATCTGAGTCTTCTGTAAAGAGAATGACCTTTTCCTAAACCCAGGGCAATGTGACTAGAACACGTAACAAGGCATCAACAAGCTTCTCTATAATTCAAAGTTGAGTATCCCGTGAGGTCTAACGACAAAGGACAATGGATTCCAATAAGACCAGTCAACATCAATTGAACAAAAATACCCACTAGATAACAGAGATTCATAATAGGGCATGTGTGAGTATTTTAAAACTATGCAAAACACATAGCTTGAATTTCATATATTACATATCTGTTTAGCAATTCATGTGACAACTATACTTGACCAAGTGGCACGTGTGCCCAATGCACAGGCGGTAGAGGAAAGCTGATCTACCCTGAAGTCTTGAAGACTTAGAAAATTCGAACTTTTTGCCTATCTCCAGAAGAAATTATGCAGCATATTTTCATATCCTTATAATGAATGGTGATAGAAGATGGAACTAAAACCGATCCTAAGACTGACTCACAGCAAGTCAGCCTAACAACTCCCCACACACATCTGTCATGGTGCTACTTCTCAATGCAAAAATAAACTGCTCTTCTTACGTAGATTATCATTCAAAAATGTAAAGCTCACAGACCAAAAATTAGAAGAATCATCCTCCCCAGATGCTCCTAATACCTTTTAAAATATTTTACTCCTCTACTTATTTATTTAATTTTTTCAGTCCTCTACAACAGGAAATATGTTGGAACTGATAAAATTAGGGGCATCCTCAGCTACTTTATTACAGTAAAGCAGATACACACAATTTAGGACAAAATATGTGTACTGAATGTGCATATACAGTACATATACAAAAGTCAACTGAGCTCTAAGAACAGGTTTTAAGTTGAGACAAGTTAAGGATTTTAACAGCAGGTACCATGGTCAGCAAACATGAGTTAAATATTGTCTCGGTTATATTGTGATAAAAATATATACATTTCAACTCATTTAAATATTTTATAGGGAAATTCAGTGAGGAAATGGACTTTACAAAGATGGAAATTAAAGTCAGAAGTCTAAGGAAGAAGATAATATCTTAACTCTGGATTAATAGAATGAAAATATCACCTTGAAATAGTTTCCTCATATTTTGGAAATCCATTTAAGACAGTTCTGTGCCTGCAAAGGGAAAGTATGCTCCCCCCCCAATTATATATAATAGAGGAGCTAATTCTTTAATAAATCAGAGTAACTGCTATACAGCAAAGTCTCGGAAGGCTTAACTTAACCTAAGTATCAGTTTGGCATAAGAAACAAGTATTATTTAATAAGACTTAGTAAGTAGACATTAAAATAA